ACACACACAAGAGAACTATCTTATTTAATGTGTTAATATCCTTGCTTGAGTGGGCAAGATGTGAGGCTACACAAACTGAGGAACTCCTGTACCCGTTCCTACCCATTGTCTGTGATGTGTCCTTGTGTGTGCCGTAGCCAATAGCTCTAATAGACCTGCCTCAACATCTTCTGCTGCCTAACATGCAACCAGCATTTACCCAGTAGCTACATCGAGAAACAAAACAGGGGAACCTGGACTAGCTCTATAAAGGAGTTCAAGTACAGGGCTCTACCATTTACTTTAGAAGCATCTGGAACCTGCCTGCATGTACCGCTCCTCCTCCCCCCAGTTGTTTAGTCTGCCATCTAAAACAGCTATAGCAAGTTCAGCTAAGGATAGAAAAGGAAGCTTTGTGCCTGCAGGGAACCTAAAAAGAAACTACACATGTGTGTTTCAGGGGGAGGTAGTGACCTGGTCTTGCCCCCCACTCCCCTCCTGGTCCAGTGGGAACAATGGTCCTGCTGAATAGATGAGTCAAGAAAAATACCTCTCCTGCTTGTCAAGTAACTGTGGTTGTGACCTGGCCCATGGCCCCAACTACCACACCCTTAATAGGGAGTTGGTTGGGGGAAAGCAGACCTCAGTCCCCTTGATGGCCTGGTCCCTTGAGATGTCTAGCTCTTTTTGCTCAAGGCTCCCCACAGCTTGGATGGAAAAACTGAGGGTGACAGAGCAGAGAGTGGCCAAAGAGCTAGTGTATAAGAAATGGTCCATGGGAATGCTCTTCTTCTATGCCCTGGTTCATCCACAAACATCTATATCCTGACACTGGCTATGTGAATTATAGGGTTCTTGCTTTCTTGGGCAGTCACATTTTCTGTTTATAAAAGAGTCAAAACTGATCCAAGATTCATCCCTCCTAGTACTGATGGTCCTTAAGAGTGGAAGTAGGGCGTACCTCAAGGCTCTAGATGCCATCACTATAAAATTATACACTCTCTTATGACCCATGAACACACACACATATGGCCTCCACCTTGCCAAGAGACCACGGCCAGGGCCAGAGGTTTCTGCTCAGTCAACACCACATGGGAAGAGGGAGGGAGGGAGGGAGAAATGCAGACTCACGTTTCTAAGAGGCAGTTATCTGTGAATAGCAGAGGCTGGCTGGGGGCAGGACGAGCCACAGGACAACTCTGGGACTCAGTTCCCACCTCTACTACTCCACCCGAGCCTTCACTGAGGCAGATAAGTCCCCTGAGAGGCGGTGGTGGGAAAGAATCAGGCACAAGCAATCAAGATGCTGGTTCATATTTGGGACACATGGAAGAAAGTCAGCTGCTTCAGGATTCCCAAGAGTACAGGACCACATGTTACTAGATCATATGTCCCCAAATGTATTTGGCCTACTGCCTCATTTTCAGATTTAAAAAAAAAAAGAGATTGATCACCCACTTTGGGAAACACTATCCTTAGCTGGAGGAAATCAGTCAGGTCCAGAGAGGACACGGACCACAGCCAAGGTCACCCAGTCAGCTGAAGACCAAGAAGCTAGGTAGGGTTTATGGGATGGGGTCAGCAAAAGAATATGTCCTCAAATCCCGAGTTCCCACATCAGCTCGTCACTGATGATCCTGAGCCATGCGATTTCCCTTTTCTGTTAAAAAAAGTTTTATTGACATAGAATTCACATCACACAATTCAATACGGTTTAAATATACTCGAAAGTTATGTGATCCTTCACTGCCCTTTTCTGGGGGGAAATCATCTCCATCATCTCACCTGTCTCATAGGATGACTCTGATTTTTGCAAGTGAGCCTGAGCATCCAGTTGAATGCTTAGAGCACAGTAGAGGACAAGGAGCAGGAGTGCCCTCTATGTCTGCACTCCCCTAAGTTACAGCTCTTTCTCCTATTCAATGCACAGCAGGCGTTAAGAGCGCGCAGGACTTCTCACCAAACACGAGGACGTCTGCCACCTGTCCTTGCCCAGGCCAGGCAGAAAGCTTGTATACAAAGTCTCCTTTCCAGGCCCTTGGACCGTGCACTCTGAACCTAAGGAAGCCTCCAGATGAGGCCTCCAGACCGAGGAGCCACATATTTCTGGGGTGAGGCTAAGGGGCTTGTGAGGTTTTACAGAGAAAAGCCAAGGGCAGCCCAGTCAGGGGAAATGTGGTAGCCATAGTGCTGATAGGGAAAGGCATTCAAGTGGCCCCTATCAGCTCTTCCTGTAAGCCCAGGTCCCTTACTGGAAGGCCTCAATGGGGGCAGAGAGAAGAGCCAGGGTTGGTTTGAGGGGAACAGCTAAAAAGAAAGATACATACTACTTTAAATATAAGTCACTGGACAAGCCAGGTCTTTACAACCTCTAAGTCTGCCTCAAAGATGGCCCAAGAGACCTAGATGCCCTTTACTGAGGAAAAGGGGTTGGGCCTACCTGACCAACCCGAAGTCCACGAATAGCCCCACTTAAAGCCTGATGTCTTCGGCACAAGGCCAGGTATATAAAAGGTCCCTTTCATTATGTCGAAGATGCTCCTGCAACTACCTACCTCCCAAGGAAACATCCCAGAAACAATACAAACGAACGATAGGGGAGGAATACTGGGGCTACCTCCAGCACAGCAGTCTACTCCAAAGTCTTCTGCCCATTCAACAAACATTTCTGACTCTGAGTTGCTCCTGAAAGCAGTGCTTGGGTGGCCTTACCATGCCATTATTCTATGAAACGAGCCCTGGCGGCACATTACTCAGCTGCTAGCCAGAGGTTGGCAGCATGAACTCCCCAGCCACTCCACGGGAGACAGATGTGGCAGTCTGCTTCTATAAATTACTATGTTGGAAACCATATGAGGCAGTTCTACTCTGTACTACAGGGTCACCATGAATCAGAACTGACCGGCCAGCAATTGGTATTGTTCTGTGAGGATCTTCCATGTGTTAGACACTACAAGGGTTTACCTTCATGCAATCCTAGGGTCTTTCATCTCGTCCACAGATGAGCAATCAAGCTCTAGAAGGAAAAGCTACTTGCCCAAGGTCATACTAAAAATTAGTAACACGGTCAGGAGTGGAGCCTAAGTTGGTCCAGCCTGCCAGCAGACATGCGCAGGTACCTACAGACCACGAACAGCAGATCCGAGCCGGAAGGGGCTCCAGGAAGCCTTCTAAATCAGTATCTCATAGAAGGTCACACAGGAATGAAGCCAGGGACAGAACTCGAAGACACATCTTCCAACTCCCAGCTCAAAGCTCTTATCGGAGGCACAATTCCTTGGTAGATATTGGACACCCAAATACTTCCACCTTTCCCCGGACACTTAACAATCTACTGCTTAACTCTGGCAGGTCACAGATTCTGAGTGAAAGGAGCCTCAAAGATCTAGCTTAGACTGGCTATTAGACAGTGTCAAAGCTATCCACTTGTGGCATTCCTGTTACAGCAGCATCAGGTACTTAAAACTGACTTTAATATCAGAAGAGCGGGGTGCTGCCTGAACAGATACCAGACACGTGGAAGAAGTTTTGGAACTGGGTAATGAGTAGAGGTGGGGACGTTTTAAGGTGCCTAATAGTAAGAGGCTACACTGCTTTGGGGGAAACTATTGGTGGAAATATGGACGCCAAATGCAATTCAAGTGAGGACTAGAAGGAAGTGAGGAGAGATGCAACACCAGAGCAGGCAACAGCAGAGAAATGGCAGCAGCAGAATCCCAGGCGGCTAGTGTGAGACAGCATGGGAACCAATCCATGGAGCAAATGAAACTTTCTGGCAGAGTAGGGTGCCTCTGAGCACTAGTCAGTGGGGCAAGGCTTGCAGACCTACTGAGAGGTGAGCACCTTCAGGCCAACACACACTGGCAGGCCGAGTGGGGTGCTTCTGGGCTAACGAGCTTTGTAGCATTTGCCAGAGCAGGGCAACGGCTCAAGGGGCCAAGAGGTCAAGGAACCCAGAAGTAGAAGTTGAAGAAATAAGGTGCATGGGAAGCAAAGCTGCCATGGTCTCAACGGGTAAGACTACACTTCTGGATCTCAAAGGACTACAGCCACAGTTTCCTAGGTTTCAAAGAGTCAGGTCCTCATCAACTGAGTGCTGGAGTGTGGGACTGCCAATCACCAGTGCCAAGGAGACAGGGATGGGGCCAGGGCTGCTGCCCAATGCTGAAAGGACAGGGCCGCCATGCCTAAGGGACAGAACACACCCTGGCAGAACTAGGCGGTGGGCCATCATTTAGCTAGACTAGGAAAATGGGGCTGTCCAAAGCCAAGGGAGCAGTATTGCAATCCCAGTGGACCTGGAAGGTGCAGCTGAAGGCCAGGGATGAGACGTCTCTGCCAAGAATCCAGAGAGCATGACCAACACCCAGACTCTGCGGAAGATAGTTGATCTAAGAGAGGACTCTTTTCAGGACTTGAGAAACTAATGAACACTGTTCTCCCAGGTTTTCGACTTGTGTATTTCCACGATCCCTTCTTTCCCTCCACTTTCTCCACTGGTAGTGGAAATGTCTACCTTGCTCCACATTTTGGAAATGTCCTATTTTGTATCATGCATTTGATATCACAGTTTCACATATGAAGAATTTTGCTACTGGAGGTTTTAGACTTGGGAGTTGACTTTAGACGTATGGGATAAGATGGGGTGAGTCTGTTTTGCATGTGGCGAGGACATGAAATTTGGAGGGCCAAAGGGTGGAACAGTATGGATTGTCTCCCCCTAAAATTATGTATCAGCTTATTAGGCCATGCTTCTCAAGAGCTTGGCAATTACCGGTATATACAGATATAATTTGGAAAAAAAAGCCTGGCGGTCTATTTCCAGAAAAACAGCCATCAAAATCCCTTTGGGGCACAGCTCTACTCTGACACACACAGAGTCGCCATGAACCGGAATCTGCTCACTGGGAACCAGTTGCAGGACCAGCATACTCTGCCAACGCCAACTCAGGGGCTAGTCCTGACAACGGACACAGCGTCTGTGCAGCCCTAGGCCCTTGGGGGCTGCAGCCGAGACTTACCTACAGCCCGGAAGAGACAGGCGCCGTCCTCCTTCATCTGCTTGATGATGAAACCCTTCTTGTCTCGCAGTGCCTTTTCAAACCAGTGCTCCTGCTGGGAGAAGTGATGGGGAAGTCAGCAACTAGGGCACCCGATGACTGACAGACTAACATTCTCAGTCCATGCCTACGGAGCGGTGGAGACCCTTTCTTTTAGGGAACCAGTGTACACAGAGACTGCAAACTCACTCCCAGGGGGACCCCACTATGCTGAGACCAGAGGCCCGATCTGAAGCCACGCCCCCTCGGATTATTGGAGGCCTAAACCTGGCAAGCAGCTGAGTGGAGAATCTGGTTCTACCTGAAGGAGCTACACTTTAGGACTCTCCAGTCCACTTGGGGCCAGATTAGAGAAGATGGGAGTGATTGTTAAGAGGCCACATCTGGAGTCCCACATATATCTATAGCTTAGAAATCCCAAGATATGTTGAACAAGGCAAAAAATAGACAATGTGCGCGCCTATTTGTGATTGAATACATTTAACGTGTGTGTCTGTGTGTGCGCACATGCAGTGGGTAAAGCAGTGAACTGCGAACAAAAAGAGTAGCGGTTGGAACCCACCAGCCACTCCATGGAAGAAAGATGAAGCAGTCTGTCTCGGTAAAGGTAGACAGCCTCAGAAACACCACAGAACTGTTCAAAGTCAGAATGCGCTCAAGAGCAGGGGTGGGTGGTGGTGGTGCAGGCGTGTAGGTATCCACACAACATGGGAAAACTAGCCAACCAAATGTTATCCTTACCTGCTGAGATTACGGGCGTTGTTAGTAAAGTTTTACTCCACTGCCTTCTTTATAAAGATATACAACCTGTCACCCCAAATTCCAAACCCCAGAAAGCTCAGAAAACAAGTCTTTAGCTCATTTAGCATCATAATCCTGATAGAAACGGACACTAATCTACCTCTTCCATGTGAAGGTAGTCAAACATTTCCTTGGAGTAATATTCCAGTGTGGGATTATGAGGTGCTGCCCCAGACCCTGACTGTGGTATTACCTAATACACAGTGTGTGGGAGGCAGGAGGGTCGGACTGTGAGTGCACGAATCATTTTAAAGGCGATTTGACCATGGGGGAATGGTAATGTTCTGAAATTGAAGTGAGGGCTTATTGTACAATTCTCTGTGATGTAACTGAACTACTGAATTATATGTAAATCACTTGCAAATAAGACTGCTGGAAAAAAATACACAGTATACACACCAGTTGACTTTTCTAAATCCTTAATTTTCCCAGATTCCAAAGCCAATCTCTCCCAAAAGGTTTGAATTAAATGAACCTATACACGTGTTTTCAGATGTGATTAGGATTTTTTCAGATGTCTCAAAAAAAAAAAAAAAAAAAAACCAACAACAAACCAGACCTGACCATGTATCACTTAAAACACATTTTCCATTTCAAAACAAAACAGTAAGGAGTAGCTCTCTCTCAGACCCCTCGTGCCCTCTGCTGGCCAACAGAAGCAGCCACCAGCCTGATGCTGCATCAGGATTGGTGACGGCCAACAAGGATCCCAAATCTGCTTGTTGGGAACACCACCCCACCCAGGGATTTACAGGATCGGATCCGGGCTAATGCTGAGCAAACAGAAGGAATCACCTCACAAGGTCAGAACTCTTATTCCTGGGAAAATTTGGAAAACATATGTTTTGAAGGCCAATAAGTCTGGATTGCAACCACTCACTTGCCGCATGAGTTCACAAGTAAGCTGTCTAAATGCTCCAAGCCTCAGTTTCCTACCACACAGGGACCTATGATCTACTTGACAGAGAGACTGGAGCACATCCTGGCCCACTAGACCTTGA